TATTATTATTACTAAACATGATATATTGTATGCATCATTATGCATACAGAAACCTCTATACATATTAATATCATTATTTTTGTTAATAATTGCATTTTATATTTTATTTTTAATGACAAACTTAATAATAATATGTTACACTTTTAATAAGATATAGTACAAGTATGTGTGATAATGAAGCTCCCATAATTAAGAAAAAAGTGTCAATTTTGTATCAACTCAATTATTATACACACTCAGACATGTAGCTATTAATTTTAGTCACAAAAATTTTGAAATTCACATGTTAACTGCTCCTCCTTTGTTTCCTCTTATTTCTTCATAAGTAGGATTAGTAGCATTAGTATTATTGTTAATCATTAAAGTGTTAAATTCATATGCTTCATTATGTGCAGTAGGTACCTCTTGTTGTTTTTGTTGTGATGAGGCAAACCCTGTAATTAGTAGAAAAACAGTAAACAGTACCACATATACACTTACTCTTTAACTTCCTTTTGTATAAAATAACAAGCACAGTGAGACTTATAAGTAAAAATATAATAACAACACCTGATGATGCGGCTGTGATAACTATAATAACACATAGTGTTTTATTGTATCTATTATATTTATGTCATACTAACCAGTACTGACATTAAGAGTTGTTGAAACAGGTGTTGCAGTAGGAGACAATTGTGTAGTAGCAGTAGTGATATTAAAATGCACAGTATTAGTACCAATAGTACCTGTAGTAGTGACATTAGTGATGTTAGGAGAAGGAGGGTATGTATCTGTTAATATATAATACTTTAATATGTAATACTATAAGTACATACTTACCAAATGCTAGTATAAATGGTTCACTACTACCAGCCTCATTACTAAATACAATACTGATATTACACTGTTGATACTGAGGGACTGATATTAATCCTGTTATATCATTCATATTCCTTATTTGGTAAGTTGTACTGCTACCAGTTCCATTACACTGTACAGTAATTGTAACATGTTCAGGAGCTTCACCAGTACACTCCAGTATAATCTATGAATTAATAATAACTAATGGTATTAATGAAAGTATTAATAGCATACTTGGGGGATATAGAACTGGACAATAACCACATCTTGTGTATATGAGAGTATGTCAAGTGATGTGTTCTGTACAGCTCTAGGTACTATGAAAGATTAATAAACATATTAACATGAAGAAAGTGTATGTACCTCTTTGATATGAGAATGTATCATTATTAGATATTCCTTCTCCTAATTCATTAACTCCAGTTATAACATATGTATAACGATGAATAAATAAATTATTATCCACAAACTGATAACTGGTATCATATACTGATACACTCCTTAAGAACTGATTGGTAATAGTATCATATATACTCAAATTATAATACAAATTATTGTCTCCTGCAGCAGCATTCCAAAAAACATTAATGGTGGAACAGTTGTAAATTAAAGATTTAATATTAGTAACTGGTTTAGGAAAGCCTAATGATGCAAAGTAACCTATTGGTAGGAAGACGGAAATATACTTACCAAATGTAAAAGACAATATGTCATTAAATCTTCCTCCATTATTACTCAGTGATACATTAACAATAAATGTATTTAAATTATTAGGTACAGTTATTCCTCCAGTAATCATCAGTTGATCATTAACTTGTGCTAGTATACTGGTATTGTTTATTACTGTGTTATCAGTATTCAGTATACTAACTGTTATACTATTAGGATACTCTCCTTTACATAATGCACTGACCTAGTATGTGAGAATAATAGTGAATTGAAGTTATGCAAACAATATCTATTGTGTGATAAGCTTATAGTGAGAATAATACTTACATTAACATTGATATTTATCAATATTTGTTGTCCATTAACTACTGGTACTACTGATACAGTGGGGGTGATGGTAGAAACTGA